CCCCAACCCTTCCATTGAAATCTCCTAGCATAATAATATTTTCGTTTCCCTTACACTTCATTAACACCATCCTTACCATTTCCCAAAACTGCTCTCGGATATAAGTGGGCTTAGACATGTCTGGGGCGTAGACCCCTAACAGGAACAACTTCTTTAAGCCCACTTTCATTCGTATCCATAGCAGTCTTGGGCTTACAAAAAATTCAACTCCGATGCGGCAGTCCAAACCACCTTCAAAGAGTTTATTGATTCTCGCCCCCATGGTTTTTAGTAAAGGGATCAATGAACTACCTATGAGATGGCAAAAGTGCATAGATAACGACGGTGCATACTTTGATTGATTAAATATATTTTACAAAACAAAGTTGACTTTATATTCTTCCCGTATAAAACGCCAATTAAATATGTAAGGACCTATAATTTTTTCCTTTTTGGTTGTCTTTTCCCCCCGTGTCTTTTGTATACTGTTTCGACACGCTTAATTCCGTCGCCTTTTCTTCGAGATAGTTAAAATTTTCCTTTCCTCGATTTTAGTTATTGTTTTTTTATCAGAATTGTGCCGCGCTTACAAAAAAAAAATTTGAAACAACTTGAAGAAGCGACAAACTTTTGTGCAACATTCAGCAGGCACAGTTGCCACTAAATTGTGATAAAACCGAGTTCCGCGATAATGGCGGCAAATATTTCTTCAGCTTTCCTTTTAAAAATTTAAATGTACTTAATTTCTATAAGATGTAAAAAAATTAGCCTGAAATTTTTGGCCCCAAACATCTGCCACCCTAGGCTCCAGCTTACTTAGTCTGGTAAATCCGCCACTGGATCACATATATACCCTACAGCAGATTGTACAGAAGATCTAGAGTTCAATCTACCAATTTGCCTGACGTATGTGGACTATGAGAAAACCTTTGATTCCGTCAAAATTCAGGCGGTGCTGCAGTCTCTTTAGCAGTGCCAAGTAGACTGTCGGTATATAGAAGTGCTGGAGTGTTTATACAGTGGGGCTACGATGGCTATCCGAGTACAGAATCAGAGTATGAAACTTATCCAACTGCGGAGAGGTTTGAGATGGGGTGACGTTATATCCCTGAAACTCTTCACCGCTGCATTGGAAGATATTTTCAAGCTACTGGACTGAAAAAGATATGTTATTAACATCAACGGCGAATACATTACTCACCTTCGATTTGTCGACGATATGGTACTTATGGCACAATCGCTGGAGGACCTAAGCGCTATGCTCAATGACCTCACTAGTTTCTCCCAATGGATACGTTTTAAGATGAAAATGGACGAAACAATTATCATGTTTAATGTCCATGTTACACCTATGCTGATAGTTGTTGGGAGCACTAAGCTCGAAGTTGTTGACGAGTACGTTTACTTGGGACAAGTAGTCCAAAAAGGTAAGTCCAGCTTTGACCGAGAGGTTAATCGACGGATTCAACTCGGCTGGGCAGCGTTCGTGAAATTACGATTCATCTTCTCGTCAGGTATATCTCAAAACCTGAAAACTAGATTGTACAATCAGTGCGTGTTCCCAGTGATGACTTATGGATCTGAGACGTAGTCCTACACTGCTGGCCGTATGAGTACGCTCAAGGTCGCTCAGCAAGCTATGGAAAGGGCTATGCTCGGGGTTTCTCTGCGTGATAAACTTAGAAATGAGGATATTCGCAGTAGAACCAGAGTGACTGACGTAGCCCAACAGATTAGTAAGCTGAAGTGGCAATGGGCCGGCCATATAGCTCAAAGAACAAACAATCGAAGAGGAGAAAAGTTTCTCGAGTGACAGCCTCGTACCGGTAGGCGTAGTGTAGGGTAACCCCCCACTAGATGGAATGACGACCTGGTAAGACATGCAGGAAGTCGATGGATGCAGGTGGCTCAGGACCGTGCTTTGTAGAATTTTTGGGGGAGGCTTATGTTGAGCAGTGGACTTGCGTGAAGCGTGAAGGGCTGTAATGATAATAATGAAGATGATTAATAGAATATTCACTTCTAAAACTTTCTCTCTAAACAATCGCAAATCATTTAATGAATGAGCGACAGTTGACATTTCTAAAAGTAGGCGAAAGTTACACGAACTTTATAATGAAAGATCATATTATAATCATAGTGTCATATTAAAAGAGTATATAAAAAGTTATTCTGAAACATTTAAAAAAGTTTGGTCCACAGCTAATGCTTAAATTAAAGCAAAAAAATTAAAACTGCATACAATAAAATTAAAATGACGTGGAGTATAATTAATAGTGAAACGGACAAAGTCAAACCACGCAACCCGGATTTTCAACTGAATATTAACAATAATTGAACTCAATCTGACCAAGAAGTTGCTATGACTTTTGAAAAACATTTTACTGATTTTCCTTTTTTGACAACAAAATCATTAAGTTCTTCTCCTACTATCGCCGAATTATTGCAAAATTTACTAGTAAGGGCTTGTTCAAATACCTTTCAATTCCAAATAGTATTTATTACCAAAAGTTATCATTAAATATTTTAAAACTATTGATATTAAGAAAACGGCAGATTTACGGTACTCCCGCTAAAGTTATGGCATTTGTAATAGCTACAATAGCACCTTATCTAGCCACTATTTTTAATACAAGCGTGTAATCTGGTGTGTTTCCTGATTTAATGAAACATAGTAAAGTTATACCCTTATTCAAATCTGGTAATACATCAATTTTACATAGACCAATTTCGAGAACACTCTCACTATTCTCATAACTCTTGACGCTAAGCTTTAGTGGACCCCCATAAATCTAAACTAGCAATCAGACTACGCTCTGCAGTTGTAAAAAGCTTAAAGATCTCACTAGTATCGAAACAGCTAGATTAGTTTGTTTCAATTACTTCCATAGCATAATATCACATGGGATTTTGCAATGGGGAAACGCAGTTGATTAGAAAACTATTTTTGATTTGTAGAAGATGGCCATAAGAGCTATTTACAACCTAAAACCGAGAGTCTCTGAGAGAAAATATTAAAGAAATAACTTTGGCCTCTCAGTATAATTACGAAAATTTAATGTACGTTCGTAAAAACATAGGTAGTTTAGGTAAAACGTGATATACACTTTATACAGTAGGAACAAACACAAGCTATATGTTATTATAACAAATTCCCAGAAAATATACAAAATCTCTCTATTATTACGTTTAAATATTTAATTAAACAAAAATTGTATAAAAAGGTTTATTTTTAATATAAAGAATACATGGTTTTTTTTTTTTTTTTTTATAGAAGAGGGGGCAAACGAGCATGTGGCTCACCTGATGTTAAGTGACTACCGCCGCCCATGATCAACCGCAACACCAGGGGAATTGCAGGTGCGTTGCCGGCCCTTTAGAAAGGAGTAAGCTCTTTTCTTGAAGGTCCCCAGGTCGTATCGGTCCGGAAAAATCACCGGTGGTAAATTATTCCACAGAGAGGTTGTACGCGGAAGAAAACTCCTTTTGAAACGTACAGTGGTGGACCGCCAAGCATCCAGATGGTGTGGATGGTATCGGGACGTTTGCCGTGTAGTGCGTTCACGAAATTTGGCGGCTGGGATTAATCCGAACAATTCCTCAGAGCACTCCCCCGTGATAGATGCGATAAAAAACGCAAAGAGATGCAACATCTCTTCGCAGTGCCAGTGAGTCGAGCCGATCGGAAAGCACTCGGTCGTCGACGATTCGAGCCGCTCTGCGCTGGATGCGGTCAAGTGGAAGGAGCTGGTACTGGGGAGCCCCAGCCCAGAGATGGGAACAGTATTCCATGAGCGGCCGAACCTGCGCCTTGTAAAGTTGCAGGCGGTGTGCCGGCATGAAATACTGTCCCGCTCTGCTGAGCACGCCAAGCTTTTTAGAGGCCAATTTGGCCTTCCCTTCCAAGTGACCACGAAACTGCACGTCACTCGATATGTCGACGCCGAGGATTCCGATACTGGCTGTACATGGTTTATAGTGGGTTTGAAATTCATGGTTTATAATTCCCGTGGGAATGAGATGGTCTCTTCCGAGCTTTTTCCAAAATAAATTTTGTGAATATTTTGTAATCATTGACATTGTAAAATATATTTAAAAAGTTCCGCTGGGTTAACAGAGGTTTTTTCCATACCATTGGTAAAGTAAAATATGAGTTTCAATAAGAATTACGTGTAATCTATATTGAATAAAAAATTATTCCATTCTATTCTATTCATACTTTGTCTGATGTTTGTGTGTTAGAGATTATGTCTCCCACCTGATTATGTTTTTATTAAGGCAACGTTGCAGTTCTTATTTTTAAACTTCTGTTAATTTTAGTTCAATGTAATAATTGTACAAAAACTAAAAAAAATTGTGCCAAGTTCCAACCATAACAAATGGCCTAAATCACTGCTTACACGTGGATCTACCAGATATTCGGTAATAAAACCGTTCAAATTGAATCAATAGATAAGTTTTATTACTTTATATGGTAACATGTTTTCCAGATAAGTTCGAAAACGCTATATTTATATTTCTGAATATGTAGAAACTATAAGCATATTCCGTAATAACATAGACAACATTCTAAATTCTGATTCTAATACTGAAACCTTAAAATATATATTATAATAACTAAAATATATTATTAAAAAGGAGATCCTTTAGGCAAAGTTCCGATGATACTGGCAGCGTTTCCCCGTTGAATAGCTAGACTAATTCTTTGTCCGAGGTAGCTGCCAGCTCTTCGGTCTCCTGTGACGTCGATTAATTTGAAAACTTTACAAAATCGAACATTCTACTGGAGGAGACAAGCATATAGATAGCGTTACAGCCTATCAATGGTTCACTACTGAACAAAGATCTTCCCCACAGATTACCTTTTTTTTCTTTATTACCTTACACGATATTTGCACTAGTTGCCACGATTGGTAAGTTGTCAATTGTGTGTTTTCCTTAATGTTATTAGGAAGACTTAGCTATTTCAGTAAAACACGTTATTTCAACTTTGATATATTTATTTCTATAATTAAAAAAAATTATATTTTTCTATCGGAGGGTAGAAATAAAGCCACTGCAACACCACCTGTTAATGCAAAAAAGTTTTATTGATTAAATTCTGCGTCCAACCAGATAGCCTTATGCAGCATTATCAGATGCAGGTTCAATGCGTCGATGAACTGTGATCATCTCAAATATCTTTGAATACTTACTAATTCTGAAACTTAAATAAAAATATCGGGAATATTGGCTCCAAAAACACACGGGCTCTCTTGTTCTCGTCAGTGGGTCAGTGGGTGCAAAGAATCCCCGGGAGAGGATTAAACACCACCACATATTTGATAGTAAGTAGATGCTGTACGGTACATTATATTGATATATATATATATGTGTGTGTGTGTGTGTGTGTGTGTGTGTGTGTGTGTGTGTGTGTGTGTGTGCGCGTGTGCGCGCGTTGTGTGTGTGTGTGTGTGCCTGTGCGCGTGCGCGTGAGCGTATGCCGTACGTGCGTGCGTGTGTGTGTGTAAGTGAGTGTGTGTGGGTGTGCGTGTGCGTGTGTGTTTTAATTTAGTATAGTTACTCATTTCACTATGAAGACGCTCACAAAAAAAATAATTAAACGATAGTCCCATCAAAAAATTTGATATTAAATAATAAAAATTTATATTTTACACCTAGGTTCAGCAATAAAATATTATCGTGCGCCCAATGAAGCCGGCGGGTATCAGCTAGTGTATTATAAAACTTACTTATGACAAAGATCGACCAGCAGTAGAAAGTGAGGTTGCAGTGGTCAACAATGATGACGCCGATGACGTTAACTCCAGCGAAGGAACTCAAGCGGGCCACCATCATGCCCAAACTCATTATCATACCTCTGAGAAAGATAATTTGGGATTGTAGTAAAAACTGCTTAAAATACGATTAGTAATAAAACGGAAAAGTTTGAGTGGGAATCGCGTCCTAATTTAATTATGTAAGTAAATTCAGTGAATTTTAGATAAGGCAAGCCAGAACATTGTTCTTACGCAAGTATAAGTCGTAGTGAAAGGCAGACTTACACTTGCGAAAAATAATATAACGAAAAAGTTAGAGTGGATACTGCATTCTGAGTGTTCCGTTCAAACTTAATTGTGTAAGTAAATTTAGTAAAAAAAATATGTAAGGCAAACACATCAAAATGTATCTACTTATATCTTGTATTGAAGGGCAAACTTAACTTTACGAATTTAACTTTTTTTATTCCCGACGTATAAATAAAACGATTCACAAAAACCCGCGCAAAAGATCATTAAGCTGATATGAAGCACCGACGCTTCGGGAAGTCTGTATTTATGTTGAAGTAAGTATTTCATTACCAAAATTGTCCTCATACCACTGCAAGACTTTATGATAATATAAGCTATTTCTGCGTAGATCGGATAAAAAAACTAAAAGTAGTAAAGGAGGTTTCGTAATGTATGACATTAGACCATCCATGCAGGACAAGATTAGTGTGCGCAAGCATAGATTCACTCTTTATTCCGACGGGACGACAATTTTCCGTGCTTTCGGAGGCACGGAGGTGTAACACCGCCAACGTCCTAATTTCGGCTGTTACTAAGAATTTCTTGAGAGAGAGCTGGTGATACTTTTATAAGATAAATTAAATTAAACATTCAAAACTCCCGAAACAAAACGATAGCAAAGTCATGAGTTTTGTTAATGTTAATATAATTTTTAGTCTTAACCAATATGGATTTCAAGAAGGCGAAAAAGCGTCATTAGCAATATTTAAAATAGTGAAACATATTTGGGATGACATGAACGAAAACATCCATGTTTTGCCCTTTTCTTGGATAGGTTCCTAGATAGGTTCTTAGGCAACGCACCTGCAATTCCCCTGGTATTGCGGTTGATCATGGGCGGCGGTAATCATTTAACATCAGGTGAGCCGTATGCTCGTCTGCCCCCTCTTCTATAAAAAAAGGTATGACATAAAAGATTGTGTTAACCATGAAGATTTACTGAAATAATTTTAAAACATTGGTATTCGTGGAATCGCTCTAAAACTATTTAAGTCATACTTCGAAGATTAATATCAAGCAATTATTTTGAATACATATGATATATATATACAGAAATATATATATATATATATATATATATATATATATATATATATATATCATCATTCTCTAAGCCATTTCCCATTATCTGGGGTCGGCGCAGTAAATCTTCTTGTTCCATTCCTCTCTATCAGCCGTCATTTCCATACTTACTCCTTTCATTCTCATATCACTCTTCACACAATCTATCCATCTTTTATTCGGCCTTCCTCTGCCCGTGTGTCCCTCCACATTCACATTCAACACTCGTTTTGTGACATGACTTTCATCCCTCCGCATCACATGCCCAAACCATGCCAATCTGCTTCCTCTCACCTTTTCTACCACTGGCGCTACTTTCAGGCTTCCTCTTATATACTCATTCCTTATCTTATCCATCCTTGTCACACCACACATCCATCGTAACATTCTCATTTCATTCGCATGCAGTCTATTTTCATCCTTCTTCTTGACGGCCCAGCATTCACTTCCATACATGACGACAGGTCGGATGATCGATTTGTAAATTTTCCCCTTCAGCCTTATTGGCATTCGGGGATCGCACGTTGTGGCTGTGACCTGTCGCCATTTCATCCACCCTGCGTTAATCCTATGCTGCACAGCTCTATCTATTCCGCCGTCGCCTTGAATGAGGGAACCGAGGTACTTGAATTCTGAGCAGGTAGGCAGTATAGCGCCATCCAACGACATGGGTACAGGACTGGAAAGACCGCCGAAATCACAGCACAGATATTCGGTTTTGGATCTGCTGATCTTCAAGCCAACACTTTCCAGCCTCTGTTGCCACCCCGTCAGTCTGCTCTGTACCTCGATGCCTTCTTCCCCGACAAGCACGATGTCATCGGCAAAGAGCATGCACCAGGGTGCCTCATCCTGCAGGTCCGACGTCAAAGCGTCCATAATCAGTAGGAAGAGGTAAGGGCTCAATGCCGACCCTTGGTGCAGCCCTACCGCCACATCGATACTGCCCGTAGTTCCCGCGGCAGATCGTACACATGTACGGGATGCTCTGTACATAGCACGGACTAACCTCACATACTTCCCAGGCATACCTTTCATCTTTAACGCCCACCACAAAACCTCACGGGGAACCCGCCGTGGCCAAAATTCGGTCGGGAGGACGTTATTATAATAACGTCCTCCCGACCGAATTTTGGCCACGGCGGCCTGCCTCAACGGAGGCTAGCCATCGGCGCAGGACAGGATTATAGTATTCAAGTGTTTGCGCAAGAGTGCACCTGACTCTCTCTTCCCTCACTCTCATAATCCGATGGGACGGTAAACCGATACGACCGGAGAGAGATTAGGCGCAGGACCAACGGCTTTACGTGCTTTCCGAGGCACGGGAGTGAGACACCGCCAACTTCCTGACTCCGAGCAACTACTGAGAATTTCTTGGCAGAAAAACTCAATAATTAATTTTTTGGTCCGACTCGGGATTCGAACTCAGGACCTCATGATCAGCAGTCGCACTACTACAACCACTAGACCAACGAGGCAGTCTAATATTATTATATATCTATTATTTATATACCTATCCTATCTATTATTTAGGGTTGTGCCTATTTATTAGAAATAATTGTGATTTATTAGAACACAAACTTTCAATGCGGCAAAATTTACGCCCTTGCAACGAAAACGATGTTTATCTATCTAAAATTAAAAATAAATTGCTTGACAAAAGTGCATACATAACAGCAATTAAAGTATTTAATCACTTACCCTATAGTATTCAAACAATGAAAGGGGCCAAATTTAAACATAAACTAAAGAACTGGTTGGTGGAACATACGTTTTATGTTCTGAATGAAGAGTTAATACCTTGTTCATTATTCTTAGATAAACATTTTTTTATTTCTAATCTTATAAGTTAATTGCAAATCTATCATCTGTTAAATGTAAATCGTAAAAATGTAATCTGTTAAATGTAAATAGTATATTAGTTTAAAATGAAAATTGTAAATCTAGTACACGCTTGATGAGGCAACTTTTGAAATCCAAACACAGGAATGCAATAAATAACTTACTATTATTATAAAAGGAGTTGACTGATCTTCAAACGGCTGAAAAGATTTTATTGAATCATCAATCAAGATTTATTGAACACTCTCTATCAAGTAAACTTGCAAACAAAAAAAATCTAAACCTGAATCTGTTCATCCGTTATGGAGCTACGATGGCACAGAGAAATACACAGACAGACATGATAAACATATAACACCCTCCCGTTTGCGTTGAGGGTTAAAAATACAAACCTATACGCCGTAGGATACATGTCCACGAAGTAGGACGCGACGCTGCCAACACCGACGCAGGTTATTTGTATCAAAGAGAAAAAAATCATGCTCAAGACAGGTTTTGTGATAATCCCCACTAGAAGAGAGCTTATCACTGCTATCAGTAGACATCCGATCAGCACCAGACGCCTCAACGAAGCCAGTATTGAAGCCATGAGGTTAATAAATGTAAAGAAAAACCCAAGAACAATGCCCGAATAAACTGTGTTCGGTGACATCGCGCCATTGCATACATACTGAAAAAAAAAAAGAGATATTTTGTTGTTTCATTACAAAAATATTGATAATAATTAATAATTACGTAGAACATAATATTTTTAGTAAGTTACTGTAATAATCAGAAAATCGCAAAATTGCAGTTTACTTTTTTACTTTACACCCATCGATATTAGTAAGTAAATAATATATGAACTAAGGATTATTTTACCAACATTTTCAGCTTGAACTCTATTCGTGGCGTTCTGAACTATACCTTCACAAAAGCCAACGTCTGTAGTACCACCAGGTACTGAGTTGAAAAACAAGTTCACCATGGTTGGGAACCACATAGCAAATACATTGTTTCTGGAACAATAAACCATTATGAAAATCAATGAAAATGATGGACACACACTGACAATCAGACGCCAAACTGGCAGAAAAAAAAGAAAGTCGACAGCATATGTCAAGTGGGGTATCATTGAATAGGTCTTTGAAAATCATCTTTAGTGTTCTCTAATCATTTTTAAATTTGAATGACCATTTAGGAGAGAAAATGATTTTAAGTTGGTTTGCAACCATCCTCATACAAATTTACAAAATTCTTTTTATCTTTTCAGGTCTTATTAGCGTGAATAATAATTATTCACTTTACAGTTAGTTCGGTTTAACGCAGTCTGGTTTTTTTAGATTAATGTTTTAACCATTAAGTTAGTTATCTTCTTGATTTTTGTCAAGCTTTTTGTATCTTGCTTGCTGATGAGTATTTAATCTTAGAGAAATAATAACAAAAAATTACAATAAATAAGCTATGCTACGATCTAATTATTACGGCTCCGTGACGTAGTAGCTTAAGCATTGAGATGCGGCTCTGAGAGCAGCTGGTTCGAATTCCGCACGGAACAAGTATTTGTATGGCTTACAACTAATTGTTCCGGGTCGAGATTGTTGTTTTGTGCAATACATATTATGTTTGTAATTTATTATATTTATGTAAACTACCTCCATTATACAGGAGGAAATGTTGCGGATAACTCATGATCATCATTATTAAAGCCCCAAGTCAAGTCTACTGCTGAACTGCTGAATATAGGCCTCCCCAAGGAATGCCACAAAGCACGGTCCTGAGCCACCTGCATCTATTGACCTCCTGTATGTCTTACAAGTTCGTTACTCCATCTTGTGGGGAGACGCCCTATACTTCACCTACCGGTACGACACTGCTATTCGAGAACCTTTTTTTCTCATCGGTTATCGATTCTTCGAGCTATTTGCCACTTCAGCTTACTAATCCGTTGGGCTATGTTGGTCACTCTGGTTACTCTGAGGACATCCTAGTTGCTAAGTTTATCTCGCAGAGAAACTCCGAGCATAGCCCTCTCCATAGATCATTGCGGGTAACTAATCTTCAAAAATATATCAGGTACATAAAAATAAAATGTTCTTGCACCATACTAATTAGTAGAGTCACGCTGCAGCTATATTATGGTTGTAGCACGAATGGGTCGGCTCCCCCGGGGAAAGACCATGCTCTCACAGAATACCAGCGTAAAATAGAACCTTAATACTGTCGTATTTCGTATGGAGAGTGTAGAGATCCGGGGACCCTTTTTTACTGGAAATGAGGCATTCCATCTTAGTCCTCAGGGGTGACAACGCATCTGCGTTTAGATTCTTAATCTAGGATAAATGTAAAATTCAATTTACTATGCAGTTAGAGGCAAATAATTCCTAAGCTTTCCTAGATGCGTTAGTCATCCGAAATCCTAACAACACCATAGGTCATACTATGTATAAAAAAAGATCCATACAAACCGATATAAGCCGAATAAAATAAATTAAACACGATAAAATCCGTAAAAGAAGTTTTAATCAATGTGTAGTGTTCGCGTAAATATAAGAAATCAGGACTTATATTTTTATTTTGTTTGTATAATAATATTAATAATTTAAGTTCAACCGTAAAGGGAACTATCGTGCCTGTTGATTTTTAAGCGAGTGATTATCCGGAAATCGTATTTTATGACCTTTTCTTACATCACATTGAATTTTGTTTTGATTGAAATTCGCATGTTCTAAGTTTAAGGGCCCGACCGGAGTAGGACCACGCTCTCACAGAATACCACCGTAAAATAGCAGCCTAATGTTGCTGTGTTTCGTATGGTGAGTATAGAGATACCGGTCACCCTTTTTACAGGAAACGAGACATTCCATCTAAATCCTCAGGGCTGGCAACGCATCTATATTTTGATTATTTAAGATAAATGTAGATGTCCATGGGCCACAGCATTCACTTACCATCAGGTGGACTGCGTGCTCGTTTATCACCCTTATCCTGTAAAAAAATATACTAAAATAGATACCAATAAGTTTTGAGAGCAATTCGAAGACAAGGTTAACTTCCTCAAAGGTCAACTTTCAAAAAGACATAAGATAAAACTTACGTAGCGCAACATATAACTGCTAGGTAGAATAACTGTAAGGTCCTTAATAACAGTGGAGGCTGGAACAATGGTACTGTCTGAGTCACTAATGAAGACCATAGTGTTTGCTTCTGGCTTGTTATAATTTCTATTTCTTCTAAAAGGTGAACCTGCAAAAATTTTCATAAAAACATACCATAATATATATTCCATGTATTTAGAAAATACTAATAATATGCACATAAATAGCACTATTAAGTTTTGTCTGGCTTATCGCCTTTTTATAGCATATGGGTGACAAAGAAGCTCACGGTCCACCTGATGGTAAGTGGATGGGATGCCCATAGACATCTACACTTAACATCAATTAAGAATCAAACTGCAGATGCGTTGCCATCCCTGAGGACTAAGATGGAGTGATTCGTTTCCATAAAAAGGTTTTCTGGTTTTCTACAGCAGCGTCATAGGAATCACAGCAGCGTTAAGCTGCTATTTCACGCTGATATTCGGTCGAGTCGACCTATTCGTGCTACAACCATAATATATCTGTAGCATAGTGCTACCACGTACATAAGTTATTTTTTAATTTTGGTGTTTTCTAAAATGCTACAAAAATATTTACAAGCGAAACTAATAAATATAAGTTTATTTTAAAGGATTTGTTTAAATCGCCACCAGTGTCAGTGTTTTAACGATAGTAGTAACGGGCGTCTGGCACTTTTTAAAGAGATGTTTTTTAAACGGGATATTATTACGCCATCTATCGGAAGTCAATTTACTTCTGGCATTGCCATCGTCGCCATTTCACATTTTCTCACGCAGGTGTTGCGAGAGGCGTCTATGGGCAATCCCGGGAATATCTCCTGCCTTACTATACGTAGATGGCGGTATAACCATTCCATAAGGAACAGGTGTGCCAAGTATGGCGATTACGGCAAGTCCTCCGTACCGCAATGCGGGAAGACGAAAAAGAAGAAGAATTACCGGATAGCCGTCATCCTTGCCACCATTCGCCACATTAATCTTCCTCAATACTTTTATTGCTACGGTAATTTCACCTTTATTGGCAAGGAATTTGGGACTTTCGTAAAGCCAGATTAAGATCAGCGCACCAATACCCAGGGGAACTGCTATAATAAACGTGAATAGTCTCCAGGAGTGGTACGTTATAGAGAGCCAAGGTATTTTCCAATGTAAAGAAAGTGGTAATATGAAGTAGGCGAGACCTGGAAGCACATGAAATTTGTTTAGTATGAACACAGTGTTTTATGTAATAATTCAATTAAAATACAAATGCATTACAACTGTAGGTATATGACTGCTGCACGAATGGCTGACCCATTCGTGTAGCAGTCCATGGGATCTTACAGAACATCACCATTAAGAGCAGCATATGAGTGACGGGAAACGGAGTTTTTATTTCGTCCTAGTCCTCAAGGGACTGAGCTGGTTGTTTATCGGTCGGAGGCGTGTCTATATGCCATAGCGCCGAATAATCATCAGGTGAAATAAGACTTATTAGTACAAAAACTTCCATGTACTACCATACCAGCAATGCAGAACAAAACCTGTGTCACTGTTGTGAATCGCGAGGGCGCCGGCTGGGCGGATAACTCTAGCTATAAAAGCAATCTTTGAATCTTCAGCAGATGTAACCATGCGATTTATGCCTGCTGATTAGAATCAGCTTTAGAAAGCTGTGGAAAAAGTAATTAAATCAATAAGCAGAAAACAAAGCCCCTGTGATAGACAGGATAAGAGCCATTGACACGCAGTTGCTGTGCGGAAAAATCAAAACAGTTATTGCTAAATTAATAAATGCAAGCATTATTACAGGTAAATATCCTCCCCTAGTAAAAAATGGAATTGTTCGACCAATACACAAAAAAGGTAGTAGGACTGAGTATGAGAATTATAGACCGATAAAGATATTATTTACCATAGAAAAAATAGTTGAAAAATATACAAGCGGACAAATCCATAGGTTTTGTGAAAGTAATAATATACTAACTAGCAAACAATATGGTTTCCAACCTCAAAAAAATACTTCATAACTACTTTCTGCATTCACAGATAGTTTGTACACGCATATTGACTGTAAAGAGCACTTTCTAGTCGTTTTTATTGATTATAGTAATACCTTTGACATGCTAAGACACAAAAAATTTATTCCAAGCTTATATCATAGTGGAGTAAGAGGAAAATTACTAGCGGGGTGTGAAAATTATCTCCATGAAAGATCTTATCGGGTAAAAATTGGCGATGCTCTTAATTTTCCTGTACTGGTAAAGGAAGGCACAGCACAGGGCTCAGTTCTTGAACCTCTACACTTTCTCACCTACGTAAACAGTCTTGCTAATTTAATCAAACAGTGTGAGATTTATCAATTTGGAGATGACACATGTTTCTGCTGCTATAGAGGAGGTACTAATGAAACTTCAAAATAGTTTGATATACTGACGAAATGGTCACACGACCTCAGTTTAGTACTCAGTGCTGCCAAAACTAAACTTATATATATATATATATATATATATATATATATATATATATATATTATACAATATGGCTTGTAAAACTGTAGGAGAACATACAAAATATATCTTGATCGAATATACTCACTCCAGCTGCGCATTTTAAAACAAATAGTCCCCAATAATTTCAAAATGAATTTCAAAGACGATTACCGAAAATTATTTACATTTTGAAAAATTTAACCTATTCACGAGAAAGTTGAACTAACATTACTAGCTGAAAATTACTTTACCGAAAATTTTAAAAAGGTGGATAAGTTATTATATAATTGCCGACATAAGTCGTGAATACACTTTTTATTGGTCGATACGACGTTGAACACGCTGACGTTCAACGTGATTGGTTCATCAGTCCATTCTCGTCGTCTATTGGTTTCGAACGTATCATCGGCTTTCGTACACTTCAGAGCAATAATTTTAGTGATAACTTTTTTAATTAGTTTATTTTCGTTAATTGTTTTTGTTACCTTGTTGTTATTTGTTATTTATGTATTCCTTGTTATTAATTGTTTTGGTTATTTCTTGTTTTTAATTCTTTTTGTTGTTATAATTTGAGTGTTCAGATTTTGGTCTAAATATGCAGAGAAGGAAGAATACGGTGTTAAGACCATCCCGACAAATGATCTATTCAGTGTTTAGTTACATGAAAAAATTAGGTATTACGAAAAACATCATGGACGTATATAAACAGACTGCTGATGCGACTAATGTCTCAGTAGCTACCAATGATATTATAAGAAAAAGAGGTAGAGAGGTTATACGCGCACCGCAAGTGGCACGTAAAAACTAGGCTAATTAGCAAACCTGAGCTCAGTCGTCGCGCTATCGTCGCGTTATTGACAACGGTGTTGATAGTAATTCGTGTTTCGTTTTTGCACCGAAAATGCCATCATATGTGATAAGATTCTGCACAAACTACACAAGAAAGGTTTCCAAAAGTCAAAAGGAATCATATTTCATTTGTTTACTATTTTATTTATTTTCGTATTGTTTACAAATTCAAAAATTACGTATTTTAAAATATATGATCAGAAAAAATAGAGAGGGATAAAAATATCCCAATGAGTGAGTTTCAAAGAGAAGTAATATTGTTTCTGATCAAAGAATATAAAAAACAGATAGGTCTCTTCTGAGTATCGTAATTCAAATTGTGTACATATATTTCTTGTTTTATTGAAGGGTAAATTAACTATGTCATTAGTGATTAATAAGTTCAATTTATTTGTTTTGTAGCGTAACGAAGTGGTACCTATATACGTTCGTATATAAATAATTATTACAGCACTTTATTTGAAAATAATTTTTTAATAAAACCAATATTTTTTTTATTTTCCTACTTTTAATGCATTTTTACGACTTTATTACTTTTACTACTTGCACTCATGAGTGAATCGCGTTTTAGGCATAAATCACTGTGTACGGTATAATGTCATATCTGATTAATTATTGTACATCGTTCCTACTACATAAGACCACGCGCTGAAAAAAGAAATGCACGCGCATTTGTCTCTTTTACGCTTGCGAAAATTTAATCATGCCATCCTACTTTGACGTTCTAATCGTAATGTAGTGTGCATTGCAATATTTAGTTATTTATGTGTGCGTTAATGTGCCGTTTTTGAAGATCGAATATTGTGTAGGTAACCTATCTATACCTTTTTACTTATAATATCATTGGTAGCTACTGTACGGCGCACCGCAAGACCAGATTTTATGGAAGGCATATCACCTCTTCCTTGTTCTTAATAAAATAATCAATTCTAATCACCTGGTATACATTAAATACTTTATAGTAGATAGTAAAATAATGGACACGAATATCTGCAACATTACTGTATCAAAGTAAAATTTGATGTGTTCGAGTAAACATTTTCATAAAAGTCGGCGAAAATATTCAATTACGAATTGTAATAATAAAGGTAACCAATAATTTTGCCCGACAGTGTACCTACCTCCCACCACAGTTTATCTGTGCTCACGACTTGTGTCGGCAACTATACTCCGCTCGCAGATAATCTAAAACTACAGTTACCTAAATATAACAACTTATACGGAAAAAAGACTTTAGACTGTTATACCCAGTCTAATCCATTGATTTATATAACACTAGTTCAGTAATAACCGCGCCAAAGCATTGCCACAGCCATATGATTGCCATTTAGGTCCAATGTTGCCACTTTTCCGCATTTGTGATTGTACTACATTAATGGGAGACTATATAATTAACGGAGTAAGTTAATTTGTTACCTCTGATTTTAAATATTTGGGAAATTATAATAAAAACTACGTTTTAACCTTCATAGAAAATAATTAATTATTCTTATTTTAGTTTATTCATGAATTATCTATTAAATATATTTTATATTATTTGATTTATTACCATAAAAATACGTTTTATTTCATCATTATGTTTACTTCTATTCATCTGATAAGCTTTGTATCCCTTTTTTCTAAGGGGACGTAACAAAGATTTTAAAATAAAATATACTTTTTTAATATAAAAACAATTAACTGCAGCTTTAAAAAATCTCATTTTTATTGAGTATTTTAGGTAAAATTTCATATAGTAAGCCACACCAACTCGCAATTGCATGTTTGTGTGTCTATCTTTATCACACTAGTGTTGTATAACTTAATGGTCTAATCAATCAGTTTCCTAAGTTCCTCTTGCTAAATATTCTTAACACTTAGAAAAACTTCTCGTTCTGTGTTATTGCTTTACTGTACCAAAATATTAACTTATAAATTCATGAAAAAAATTATGTTATTATCATTCTGTATCACGATTATTCAAAAAATGTAATAAGATTAGTATGTGATTTTACGCTCAACGTCTAGGAACTATTTTTTATTTATGTACCCACAAATAGTTTATAAAATAGATACATATTATTAAAAGCACCTTATTTTATATATTAAATGTAACTTTGGTAATGTAATGTAATGTTAATCAGAATGTGTATACAATGTCGACAACAATGGTGTACGGAAAACTTAGTTATTAGAGTTTATGCTTATACTAAAATTATCTGTCTCTGTAATCATAAATTTCTTAAATAAATTTAAAAAAATGAATAAAGTACCCGCGGGTATTAAGGCTGTCGGGCAATAAGGCCTAAGTAACAAAAAACGTACGAAATACAGTAATTGACATCAATGTTACACTCACACAAGCTCAGAGCTTATACAAGTCGCTGCGAAGTGGCGGACGAACGCTTGCACTTTTCCCCCGGCCGGTGTCGTCGAAATCATTCAACAGTACGGTCACGCAGCACGATTTATAAAAATTGGCTCCAGTAAAACGTAAGTTATTTTGAAAATATCATATTTACAAACTGTATTGACCGTCCGTTTATTAATTAATGTATGCTTGCCCTAGGTTACCGTATTAAATGACTTTTTTATTTTTATTAAATTTTTATTATTATTTTTTTCTGTATCCACGTGGTAGGCGGATATTAAGGCCTATAAAATTTTATTGTAGGCCTTATTATACTCCCATTTTTTAACTGCTATATAAGTAGGAGCGTGTTTTTAAAATGTTTGTTGGTGGGTAGTATGTATGTAGTTACACATTTTCAACTTATTTATCCATTGTTTTCAGTGCTTACGGTCACGATGCCTCCCAAACGGGCATTGTGGTCAGATATTCTTGGTGGCATTCTGAAATGGGCTTGCCTGTGACACCAAGA